CTACCTTGATCAAATTCTGTAAACTTCCTTGGAACCAAAATAATACTTATAAACCCTTTTGAACATGTAATAATTATTACTAAAAAGGGATATATATTTTAGTTATTTTGTCCACTGTTGTCTATGTTGCATTTTGTAAGTCACCATATTAGTATGATTAGTATTGCCTCTAGTGAACTTGGACCTTTTGTTGAAGTTATTACCTAATAAAACTGTTTATATTCTGTGCACTATTTTTTATTATTATTTATTTTTTATGTTTTTGGACTGTGTGGGGTGAAGGGAGAATCAGTTACCAGTGACCCAAATCAGTTCAGTAATCAGTGACCCAAAGGCCACTCATAATACCCCTATTTGCTATAATTGTATCATATTTTATAAATTTATAATAATTTAAAAACATCAGATATGAGTTCAGTGAGTTGGTTCAGTTTACACTTTTAGAAGACTACCTTAAATTAACTTGATGATACAAGAGAAAGAAATGCGATGTACTTGAACCAAATAAGTGTTTATTTTAAAGGCGTCTTAGACACCTCTGCACCTCGTAGATTTGAATTCTGGCATTATTTTGCCTATTTATGAACCTTTTACCCAGTGAAGTGGTTTTACTATAGTGCACGAGGGCATTTTCAGGATGTGCGCAGAAGTGGTTGATGAACACAGACAGATCAGTGCGCAGTGCGCTCTTCAGTCTCCACTCATGACTATATTTTATGTGTCTCAAAATATAGTGAGCTGAATGCCTCAGCAGCATTTCTGGCCATAGATTTTGTCGCATTTCGAGTTAGCAAAATGTCCAAAAAAACAACAACAACAATCTACGCGCACCCAATGTCCAAACATGATGCACGCGCATATAATGCCCAAACCCGCTATATAAATTTAGTGTTAAACATTAGTGTTAAAAACAGGCTACATTTCAAGCGGTGTTGTAGTTTAAAGCAGTCTATAGAGAGAGTTACTTGAGGTTCAGTGTGTTGTTTTCAAAAACCACAGTAATGCATTAGCTGTGTGGAAAAGAGCGTTTATAAAATGGAACTCGTTGTCACTTTAAAGGAATCGTATACTCAGAATGCAAATCCTGTTGTCATTTACTCACTCTTGTGTTCTAGAGGTTCTAAACCTCTATGACTTGCTTTTTTTCTGTGTTACACAAAAGTAGATGTAATAACAGCCCCAGTATCCATTCGCTTTCATTGTATGGCAAAAAGATGCAATAAAGTAGCTAAATGGTGACTGAGGATGTCATTCTGCTGCGCACCCCCTTTTGTGTTTAAGGGCAGAAAGTCACAGATTTAGAACAACCTGTGGTTGAGCAAAGAACATAATTTGCGTTTTTCGGCGAACTACCCTTTTATGAAATAACGGAATCTCATCTCACCTGTTGGTTTTGGATGTTGCACTGACTCGTGACTGATTTCGTCTAACTAGCGTACAACAGGTGTCCAGTGCGAAGAAAACCCGTTACACTCCAACCGCCTCCACAGAGAGAAAAGCGCGAAAATGCGCAACAACAGAAATAGAACGCGGGAAAATAATATCCATTTGATCATTGATCCTCTCATTTCGCATTCAAGATGGAGCTAATCTGCAGAGTTTCCCAAAGCCGTTTGTTGTCTCCAGAAAGTGCATGTGCGAGATCTTTGATTGTTTATCATCTTGCATATTCTCTTTCCCATGTAGGTTTCATCGCACTTTGGTGTGACGCGTTCTCATCTTTCGTAAAGTGTTATTTTGATCATTGAAGAGACTTGGAGCGCAAAGATGTCCTGTCTGCATACTGCATAGACAGTCTCGATGTCCTGTCTGCATACTGCATAGACAGTCTCTCTCTCTCTCTCTCTCTCTCTCTCTCTCTCTCTCTCTGAAGAGAGCGCTTGTGCATACTCTCTCTCTCTCTCTCTCTCTCTCTCTCTCTCTCTCTCTCTCTCTCTCTCTCTCTCTCTCTCTCTCTCTCTCTCTCTCTCTCTCTCTCTCTCTCTCTCTCTCTCTCTCTCTCTGAAGAGAGTGCTTGTGCATACGGATCACTACTCGACGCCTAGTGTCACAGACAGTCTTTAAGGGTGCACTCAGTAATTTTTGTTTGTTTTAAATGCTAATTAAAAAGTTGTGCACATAATGAATTGAATAGCACTTTTGAAAAATATTATTTAACTATAAAAAGCTAGACATATTACACATAATAGTCAATATCTAGTGAAATCTGTATTTTATTCTTCAGAAAGCTGGCTCCTTCATGGACACTGCCATGTTTAATCACATGACCAATAATAATAATAAATGTTTACTTTATATGGTGCTTTCAGTCAGTGTCCAAGGCACTTTATAAAGAGTAGAAGTCAACAGTAATGAAGCAAATTGTTTTAAATCCTACCAGTGAATTTAGGCTTGACAACATTATAATATACTGTATGTCAAATGGAAGTGATTTTGATTCATTTATGCATCCAAGCCAACTGGTGTCAGTATAAAGTCCAATAACTATTGGGAGAAATAAGCCTGTTTGAAATGGTTCAGATCGCTAACCATTCCTCTCATTTTGCTGAATTACAAATCCTAATTATTAAATTATTTATCACTATATATCTCAAAAGTAATCATGATTTATCTCAGGCAAGGGTTAGTATATAGAAATGTCATTTTACATTGAGATGAAAATGTTTCAGAGTAAATCGAGACACTGTCCTTCTGAATTTGTTTTGGCTCAACAGCAACACGAAACCTGCAGATTTATCATCAGGAATTTATCATATTGCCAAGCTGTCTGTTAGAACAGATGAATGTTTTGGACAGTCTAGTCTGTAAACTGGTGAGCACCTGTGCCATTTATTCATGTACACTTCACCATCAAAACAGTACAAATGAAATGTGTCCAGATACTGAGATGGTTTTTGTTTCTCTATTTCAAACCTGTGAAACTGATGAGTCAGTGATCTGGGTTTGAAGCATTCGGTGTGAAGAAGCCAACTCTAAAACTTCTCATCCTTCAATTTGTCAGATTAACAGGTTCAAACATCACAGAGCAAGACAAATCAAACTGTGGTAGTAATCAAAGGCATTTCTCTGTGAGAATTTCATGTCATCTCGGAGATCTGAAGGACATACATACCGCAAATATAAATAAATACCGCAGTGAGATTTAGGATGATGGGGAACAAAACAAACAGCTGAATTAGCTGATAGATGATCATGTTTCTATATGAGCCTCTGTGTGAAAGCTGGATATGCTGCTACCTCCAGGCAACAACAGAAAAATCTTGGTATTCACACATTTCAATATAAATACTCGCAAGCCTACATAAAGAAAAAGAACAGGGGAATCAAAATGAGAACAGTGACCAAATCCAATATAACCTTCTTGATTCCAATCTTTCTAAACAAATACCAAGATTTGCAGTGTATTCTGACCTTAAGTTCTCCATTTAGATCAATAAAGCATGTGAGCAGATAATGACACACTGAATTATTATAAAATGGGATAATCTTGCAGAATGTCAGTATTGATTTGCAAGGCCAGACACAATAAATTAAATGTCTCCTGTTCTTTATTAGTGCAGGTGTGAGTTTGTGTATAGTCTACTTATGGTGGGAAAGTTTGTGTATAGCCTCTATATTCACAGCAGCTGTTTAAAACCGTATTATTGTTTGCCACTCAGAGACCTGGCTAATTAAATTGGATTGGATTTTACCCTTAGAGAGGCCATGCCCAGACACTGCTTGTTGCAGTGATCAACATTCTTGGACCCTACTAGTATTTGTACAGACAGCAAACTTCCTCTAATAATGCAGTTAGAAAAAGAGACAATATCATTCTAGCTCATGCACATCATTTTCTTTCCTGCACACAAAATAATGTTAAATGTAAAAAATAAATAAATACATAATTATCATTGTGTCCGGCATGCAAAAACAAACAAATACAGCGTGACCATTGTAGTCCAATTCACAAACAATTATTTTAGTGGATCAAATACATTGTGCAACCAGTGTACATGAGTTATACAAATGAGTTATGAGCCAGTTTCCCTTCAGGAACCTGAGCTGCATCGGAAACACTTTGGGGAACACGTCTGCATGACCGCGTACTGAAGCACGTGTGAAATCAGTCCAGTAGAGTGGCGTGATGTCACGAGCGTGGTGATGTAGCAACTGGGAAGCTATAAAAACGCATCCGGTGAAAACAATGCCAGCTTCTGCTCTTCAGCAAGCGCTCTGTGTTGTGTCCGTTAAAAAGGTGTGTTTGAAGAGTGTGTGTTGTACCAGTGCATACATTCAGTTATATAGAAATGGCGAGTGATAAGTCAGACAAGAAGCGTTTTAGTGTGTTCCTCCCTGCCCGCATTTCATTGCAGGCGGGGATACACACAATCTTTGCGTTGCTTGTCTGGTAGCAGAGCATGCACAAGCAGCTCTCAAGGGAGCTGACTGCATGCATTGTGAGCGACTGCCGCTGTGCATGCTCCGTTTTCGCCTGCCGCTCTTTGAGGAGGGTGCACAGGCTCGCGATCCTCACGTTCTGGTCACACGGCTGCCGAGGCAGAGTGGCGATTGAGATTGTGGGGATCACAGATGGATCTAGCGGAGGGGATTGCAGACGGGCATGGCCCTTTCTATGCCCTCACCCTCTAGATCCAGTGCTCGCTCTCAGGGCTCGGAAGCATGCTCTGCAGTTTCGTCCCCCCAGAGTGTGAGCACGTTGATGTGGAGAGCATTGAACAGGATGAGGCTGGGGACTCGTCACCGCAGTCCGCCGCTCTTTGAGGAGGGTGCACAGGCTCGCGATCCTCACGTTCTGGTCACACGGCTGCCGAGGCAGAGTGGCGATTGAGATTGTGGGGATCACAGATGGATCTAGCGGAGGGGATTGCAGACGGGCATGGCCCTTTCTATGCCCTCACCCTCTAGATCCAGTGCTCGCTCTCAGGGCTCGGAAGCATGCTCTGCAGTTTCGTCCCCCCAGAGTGTGAGCACGTTGATGTGGAGAGCATTGAACAGGATGAGGCTGGGGACTCGTCACCGCAGTCCATCCAGTATGAGGAGCTGTTGGAGGTGGTGACTTGTGCTGTGGTTAAATTAAAAATAGATTGGCCGGCCGAGAAGCAGGAAGATCATCCTTAAAGCAAGCTAGACAAACGCTTCCTGCGTTCTAAGTCACCTCCTCCATGTCGGAGCCTTCCTTTCTTCCCTGATCTCCACACTGAGGTGTCGAAATCATGGTAAAGACCTTATTCAGCCCATCTTTTCACCCCTAATGTCAGTAATTATTCTAACATATTGGGGCTGAGAGAACATGGCTATGGGACCACGCCCCGGGTTGAACAGACACTTGCTAGCTATCTGTCCCCAGGGTCAGCATCATCCCTGAAGGCTCCGGCATTGCCCACCAGGCTTTTCAAGACAATCGGCCTTGGTGGATAAAGCTTTTACTGCGGCAGGTCAGGCTAGTGCTTGTCTTCACACCATGGCGGTGCTGCAGGCAGACCTGCTTAAAGATCTGAACAAAGGCGAGGAAGTGCACTCTGACGATATTAAGGAGTTGCGTCGTGCTGCTGATTTGTCTTTCCGGGCCACCAAGGAAATGGCCAGAGATATTGGCCGCTCCATGGCAGCATTGGTGACTACAGAGAGACATCTCTGGTTGAACCTGTCCGATATGAAGGACAAGGACAGTTTCTTCCTTTTGGACGCCCCGCCTGCTCCTTCTGGCCTTTTCGGTGACGCTGTCAGCTCAGAGATGTCAGAGCTAAACTCTGCAGGACATCAGCACTCCAGGACCGACGTTGCCTATACCCCTGCTACAGAGCGTGTCCCTCAGCTTGAGAGGGAGTCTGGCTTTTACAGCCGATACTTCATTGTTCCCAAGAAGGATGGGGGGTTACGTCCTCAATCGGTCTGTCAAGACGTTCAGATTCAAGATGCTGACGTTGAAACAGATCATGATGCAAATCAGGTCCGAGGACTGGTTCGTCACCATAGACTTGAAGGACGCATACTTTCATGTTTCCATCCTTCCCAAACACAGGAACATCCCGAGGTTTGCTTTCAGAGGCGAAGCATACCAATACCGGGTTCTTCCATTCGGTCTACCACTACATGACGTCTGCGATGTGACGGGCTGGTCATCCCCGCTCACCTTTGTTAGGTTTTATAACCTAGATGTGGGAACCACTCCAGGCTCTAGAGTGATTTTGTCTTAAATGTGCACATAGGTTTTTACACTTAACAGGCATTTGTCGGCATGGCGGAGTTGTTATTCTCGTTCCCAAAGCATTTCCGATGTAGCTCGAGTTCCTAAAGGAAAACGTCGCTAGGTTACGACTGTAACCATGGTTCCCTGAAGGGAACGAGATGCTTCACCCTGCCTTACCTCCTGCATCCTTGTGAGCGCTTGCTTCATCCTATCAGGAGCTGGAGTTGTTTTCACCGGATGCATTTTTATAGTTTTCTGGTCACTACGTCACCTCGCCCGTGACATCTCGCCATTCTACTGGAATGATTTCACATCTGCTTCAGTATACGGTCACACAGA